TAAGAACATACCTACCTCGACCTCCAGAGTCATGAAACAAGATTTTTTATATGTTCCTGTGTGACAATAACCATCATGGATGGAATCAACCCAATTATTTCCCTAGGGCCCTAGGGCATTTCTTCAACACAACTTGGTTTCCTTATATTTTCCTGAGTTCAAGGGCAATCAAGAGTGCTCTTTCTTCTTTCTTTCTTTCTTTTGCAATTTCGCAACTGACTCTTCGAACATGACAAACCATTGTTTTCTGGTGGATTCTAGAGTAATGACCACTGTGCACTTTCACGTAGTGGGAAATCACAGAACTGAGACAGACTGAAATCCTTATAGAATCCTATGTGGTGTGAGCTTGTGAAACCCTGTGCGAATCTTATGAATCAAGGATGCATGGGTTATATTTTCCTAATTAAAGCGGTTGCCACTGCTCGAGAAACAGCACCACAAATTTTTATAAAAGAGGGTACACCTACAGGAAAACATCTTGCGGTAACAAACGGGGATTTGTGATTTCCTTCACCGAGACAAGTTGCTGAGACCACCCTGCCGGCAGCGACAGATCCAAAAGCGTTGCAGAGGACATTGACATCATTGGTCGGGCCACACCTGGTCAAATCTTCGACAGTCGACCAATATTGACAATGCCTTTTAGTTGTCTTAGATCCTCACATCTCAACACACCCACGCCTGGGAGGCTGCTAGTTCCTGCCGGCGCTCCGCTACCCGGACCATTGGTCCAATATGTGGCCGAAACGGTGGCTGACTGCCCAGGAGAAGCCCATTCCACAGGACCAAAGGCAGGCAAGAAGAGCAGGCCTCAGGGCGCGCTCTCAGAAGATTGACAGCAAACCCTGAATACCTGAAACCCATTGGAACCCAACTCTCAGAAGGTTGAGAGCAATATCTTGAAGACCGCAATGAGCGCCTTGGGTCTGAAGTTGCGAACAATACATCAATACGTTGTCCGTTGCGGTGTCCTCCCGGACGGTCCATTGCGGTGCCCTCAACGCTGACAGCCGAGCTGCGCAAACGTTGTGCTCCCAGTGACAGGCCCATGAGCTTCAACTGAAGACTGGGAGTTGTGGCAAGCTCCTGCGACCAAAACCGCGGCCGGAAAGGCACTCAGGGAATCTATTTTTGTCATGGAATGTGATAGATAACTTTGGGTGGAGCTCACCTCTATGATCTCTTTTGGAGAGCTATACTGGCTATAGTAATTGTGATTCCGATAGAATTCTCTGTCTCGCTCAGCGATTGCACTTTTTCTGAAGCATCGCTCACTATGGTCTTGGCTCTGGGGTGGCGGCTGGGGTCGCAAGAGCAGCGACGATCACGGCAAAGCTTGAAACTGGTGCGCACACATGTTTTTCTCCACTGAAGCCTTCAGCTTACACATCCAAAGCCTCCTCTTTTGGCACCCGCTTCTTCGGCTTATTCCAGGGCACATAGCCATATTGGATCATGTGCATGATCTGCTGCTTCATGGTGTATATGAAAAGCAGCACAAAGTAGACCAACAATGCGCCGCCATCAACATCCATGTCTAGGTCATCGACAAACGTGACGAGAAAGGCTGCCAGAGTGGCCACAGTCCCTCGACACCAGAGCCGAAACTCTGAGAGCGCACGCACAAAAGGCCGATACTCGCTGCTAGTGTGTCGGGAAAATTCATCGTCATCCGTCGAAGGTGACAAAAACAGAAGAACCTGGTTCAGGATGTAGATGGCCAACATATAGGCCGCGAAGTAGTGACGCTCAAGAGAAAAGATCCGCCAAGCAAAGATCAGCTCTAAAGCGACAAGCAAAAGCCAGCGAGACCTTTGCCATGGCACCAAGGGATCAGAGAGTTGCAACAAGATCCTGTCAAGGCGCTTCCAGTCAATTCCTTGTCCTCCGGAGGGCCTATCGGCAAAGGCTTTGAAGAACGAATGATGGCTTCCATGATTGCCTCTGACTGTGGAAGCTTCACCGTGTTTCCCTCCGTGTTTCCCTCGATCTCCTCCTCGGACATGGCTCTCTCTGCTCGAAAACACGCGAGGGCAGGAGTGTCTGGATAGTTCTGGAAGTTCAAGACAAGACTCGTACGAACAAGGCGATGTGAGTGTCTTCTTTTTGTCGGGCTATGTGGTCACTTTCAATTTTGTGCATTGCTGAACTATTGAGCCACCTGCAGACTTGTGCACACATCATTTCATGTCTCCACACACACGCGGTTCTTCTTCGTACCGCATAGCATAGCTTCTTGTGCCAATGAGCCATTTTGAGGTTATGTTTTCGCAGATCATGTCCGCCTTTTGGCAGGTTATTTCAATGAGCACATCACATCCTGGTGCTTGCCCATGCTCTTGCCAGGAATGACTGCTTAACAGCTTTTCAGGGTGCTTTCGGAACGCCTTGATCTTTCCAATCCCAAAGGATTCTATATAGAAAACATATGAAAACATTCTTTTGAAACGAGAGAAAGCTCTAGAAAGGTCAATGTCAATATATGTCAATATCAAACACTTCCATCTTCCAACTGGACCAGAGCAAGGTCCGAATGGACATGGCGAACATCGCTCCGCATTCCGGTCCAGCGTGGCAGCAGAACCACTGCGGAGCTGCAAGTTCGACCCATCCGGCTCCTGGCCACGCCGTAGCCGAAACAAATCGTCCGAAAGAGACCTCTGACAATTGTTAAAGAGCTGGCGCCATGAAGTATTTAACCAAACCGGAGGGATACAGTAGCGGAAGCATGAATGTTGAAGACATCCTTCAGGTTTACTTTGGACGTTCCTGCTCGGAAGGTATTTGAATAAGGAACGAGTAGCCATGGGTAATCCATCTGTGCTAACCATTGAAACACCTGGCTACAAGTTATAATGTAAGTTTCAAAAGAGTCCGTCGGATTCGTCATCCACCTTGCGTGTATACCGTGTATACAATCTAAATTTCAGGAAGCCTTGATATGGGAAGGATGATAATCTTCCTCATTCTGCATCTACAGTATCTCTTGTGACACGGCAGTCAGTCAAATGACCCCGGCACTCCAACAGAGTCGCCAATACCATCTGTTGATCATAACAGATCATAACAGCATCGTCAACTGAACATCACCCAGAGTTGACCCACACCTCCCAACAGTCCCAATGCGTCTCCACCACGAAGCACCGAAAATCAAGGCTCCCAGGCTTCGCAGGTGCCTTCAGCGACAAGGCAGAGGATTCCAGGGCCTCTTGGCCACAGGCCAGCACAAGCCCCAAGGCTGAGGAAGTTGAAGCCTACGGCGAACCAATGCAGACCGCTTTCCAGTAAACCAAACTGCGCAAAAGCCGCAGACTCGCATTATATCTTGGGATCTCATGGCTGATGGCTGATGTGAGATCAAGGCGGATTTGGATTGTGGGCTGGGTCTGGACTTGGGAGCTTGCATCCAAACAACTGAGGTCACATGAAGGAGAACTTGTGAGTTCCTGATCATGCACTTTGGTTTGGCCTCCAGTCCCGTGAGCTCAGCATTAAGCACGATGGCATACCAATATCCCGCGTGCAGTGTTGGAAGGCCACCATGTCCAAAGCTGATATTCAACACATCTCCTGCACTGGTGTGCAACGAATCACGGGGGCAAACACAGTTGGTGCGATGCTTGTGCAGCAAATCACCATCATGCATTGAGTTGTTTATTAATGATAGGATGTCCTTAAGAACACAATGAAATAAATGGTGCAAAGATTAAGATTATATATGGCCTAGCCTATGGATTTTGATACAGGGATTTTCCTAAATTGCATATCACAAGATCTGCTGGATACTTTCAGATTTGCAGGGCGTGCCTGTGGATGTCATGAAGTCCCAGGAGCAACCAAGAGGCACCGGAAATCCCTCTGGGCCACTGCTGAAGACCTCGAGAAGGACCTTTCCAAAGCATTCAACTTGTGACTGAAGTAAGTCACAGCTGGAACACACTTACTGCAGGTCGTCAGCTCCCAGGCCACAACTAATACAAGTTCAAGTTCATGGAGTCCGTCCCCATCACAATTGAAGATATCGTCGGCCTCACCACACTCAGCACCAGTTTTGGGCCTCGCCATTCGGCTTGAAGAAAATCTCACTATGCTTGAACTTGTAGAACAATTTGTTTGAGAAATATGTCTACGATGTAATTATACATTCCCCCCAAAAGACCCAACACTCGCAAACCATTTTCCTGTTTCAATCGTTTTAAGTCAGCTGTCAATCTGACACAATGTGCTCTTTCCGTTTGCCCGCGGATGTCTTTCCGGCATCGACATATTTCACTCACTCACTCACTCGGACAAACCCAACAACCCATCAGGTGCGACTTGCATCAGGGCGACGACCCAAACGACCAAAACGACCATCAACCCCCATCAAGACCCCTACACGAGCGGTGCTCCCAAGGCCGAGCGCAGTACCAGAACGCTCGGCCTGCGAGAAGGGCGAGAAATGGGCTAGTTGGAGATCGTTTCTCCGGGTCTGATAGTTAGTTCGAACTGCACGTTCTTGCAACAACTTGTAAACAAGCGGAACAGCTAAGAAACATTAAGAATAACCCAAAACCTCAAAGTGAATCAGTAGCTTCGCACCCAACTTCCGAACAGCTTTGGATCGCTCTGCCCAGCAGGCTGTGGCAACCGAGTCGTCTGAACTCCCGTTTGGAAGTCCATATCCGCTGTGCATGCGGTAGTACACAGCTCAATGATGGCTGAAAACCGGCCACTGGAATACTTCAAATGTTCAAAAAAGTCAAAGCCTTTGAAGCCTTGCTGGACTTGATAGCAGTTGCCGTGTCACTTCTGGAATAATTGACTCCGTTCAGGCAAGGCCTCAATCTTTCCCGCTTCTCATCCACTTATTGCTCCCTCATCAACGACGTTTTCTTCGTCCGTGTGCACGGGCAGGTTGGGTTTGTCCAAGAGCGGACAGGCCATAGGATGCGAGGCCCACATTGGCGGCGGTGGCTGCATGGTAGCCCACACCTGAAGCGCGGCTCCGTTCGTAGTGATGCCCTTTGTTCCTAGTAGCGAACCTTGCTCCTAGTAGTATGGCCAGGAGGCCCTGGTAGCGTCCTTGCTCCTAGTAGCGATGCCAGGAGTCCCTACTAGCTTCTTGCTCCTAGTAGTAAGCTAAGAAGAGGCTTTCTCTGTTACATTCAAACACATGAGTGACAAAACAAGCTGGCTCAAAGATAGAACAAACTCATCATGGATCGGTTTACTGTAAGTAAATAGTCAAACAAATATTTCCGTGCATCTGTCAATACCAACATGGTGTCTCAGCAGCGTGCGGAAACTTTGCTTCCTAAGTGGCTGCAGGGCTCCAAACAAAGCAATTCAGCACACATGCTCCGCGCAACACAAATAACAAAACTGTTTGCATGGAAAATTGTTAAAATAATGGCATTTAACTTGACAAGCAACTTTGTCTTGTGATGAAACATTTCCATAGCCACATACCTCAGAGATTCAAAAGGCCAAGAAATGGGCAGGCTTGCGGCTTCATGATCCCCGAAACTGATGAACTTGCAACATGTTCCAAAACACCACAGTGCAGTGATTTGTGACTTAAACTCTATCTTACATGTTCATACATGTTCTGTATTCAACTACTCTCGACATCCAGCGGGAGTGCTCCGGGGCATTTTAGTTGATCTTTTGCATGCAGCCGTGCAGCATGCTAAAATAGCATGAAAGTCTTATCTAGCATATCCGCTGGTGCTCAGTTCACGGTATCTTCGGTTCTGTGAACCTTCCTCGCTGACGTCTCAGAACCTTGGGGGGGATCTCAGTGGTTGTGATTTGGAAGTCTCCACTCTCTCCAAAACCCATATTCTGCAGCCCCCCTGTTTGCTGGAGAGTGCATTCACCACTTTCTTGACTTGGAGATTCTAGCTCGTAGTTCATCCGCATGATCTTCAAAAGGAACTCCCTGAACATTTACTGTATGGAAAAAGGATCCAACAACATGTTAAAAGGTACGACTTTTGGACCATCCAAACCATTTGAGAAGGAGGACAATGGATCCTTTACATCCTTTGAATGTTTGAGCCAAAAGGACTGCCAGTCTCGCCTTCGGACCAGTGGCCCCGCAGGCCATCCACCGAGGGCGGCGGTGCCCTGCAAGGTGCGCTCGGGCACCCGCCAACCACCAGTCTTGGCCTTCGCACAAACAGAAACTCTGAATGGTGGTGGAGAGGAACTTAAGGGTCAGTGGAAATACACCGAACACCGAACACCTCAATCGCAAACGGTTTGTATGTTTGTTGACGATGTTGACGTTCCCAGGCCGGGATTTTTGACTATGGTATGCTTCGCGCAGTGTGAAGACGACAGTAATATAATTTTCACAGGGTATGCTTCCGGGTATGCTTCGGTCGAATATCCCAGCCCTACGTAAACTGGACACGTTCAGCAAAAAACAGCCCCATATGAAACACTTGCTGGTGGAGATGAAAAACAAATTGATTCAAATCCATTCAAGTCCCCACCGAACTTCGGGGAGTTCTCTGAGACCCGACCACTTCGAGAACTTCACCCAAGATTGCTCCCTCATGATCCCCCTGGATCGTCGTGGAGTGGAAAAAACAGAGCTCTGCGCCGGTAGTTTTTAATAAGCTAAGTCCGCCCGCACCGAAGGTGCCGAGGGTGTAGTGGAGGCTTGTGGCAACAGCAGTCGGAAGAAGTCTGCTAGTATTCGCTCACGGTAAATGCAGTGCTTTTCAATGTTTTTGGAAAATGGACGTTGACGATGCCGGCTATGCCGGCCGGGGGAGAAGGCGTTATCGACATCGCGGTCGTATGTGCAGCCCGGGGGACACTGCACTATTGATATCTTGGGTCATGTCCTGCCCGAGCGAGACACAGACTGACAGACCGAGACGGGCAGACTGAGACAGACCGACCAAGACAGACGGACCGAGACAGATGGATCGAGACAGACCGACCAAGACAGACTGACCGAAACAGACAGACCGAGACAGACAGGCCGAGACCGAGACAGACCGAGACCGAGACAGACGCGCCGAGACAGAACCCTCGGTGAAAAGGCTGGTGGTTAGATAGGCCCATAGCGAAGCGCTTCTTCACGCTTGAGCCCGGTTAACATTTCCTCCCGGCTCCGAGAGTTGCTAGTTCCCGGCTCGGCGAGCGAAGGTTGCTGCCGAGCCGGTAGGGTGCAAATGACACACTTTTCCCATGTGAGCCACTCTAAAAACCTGGAGTCACTCCCTGTGTCGTATCACTTTCCTTGCGCGAGGCCTTACGCGCTGCTTACGCGGCCCTCACTTTTGCTTACGCAGAGCAAACTTCCTAAATGCTTACGCGAAATGCCTACGCAATCTTACGCAACCCAGGGTTTTGCTTACGCGGAATTCGATATGACAAGGTCCTTACTTAAGATGCAAAGACAGGTTTTTAGAGCGGCTCATGTATGTCTGGATGTATGTATGTCTGTATGCATGGATGGATGTCTATGTGTGTCTCTCTCTCTCTCTCTCTCTGTGTGTGTGTCTGTTTTCCCTTTACTCTGTACGAGCGGCTTCGACCGCGAAGCGGGGGCCGAACCTGTGACATCACGCTGCTTGAAGATTTTGGGAACAGCATGGAACAGCAACTACCAGTAGATTTTGTCAACCAAGTGTTGCCTCTGTGTGCCTCAAACTGTTGACATCTTTTGACCTTGGCAAGAACAATCGGATTCGGATCCTTTGGATCCTTTGGTGCACCACGATTGCATTCCTCGCCCCTTGCCACGGGCCCAGCTGAGGAGATTTCTCACCCAAATTCCCTCCGTTTGGTTCCGTGTCAAGGCACCTGGTGCTTGTCATACCAAAACAGGGCCACGGTGGCCACATTCACCATGAGCAAGGACCCCTCAATTCGACCCGAAAAGGTGGAGTCACCGTGGACCGACGAAAGATCGTTGGACTAAGTCTAGACTGGATGGTCAAGTATCTGTAGGCAAGTATCCTCACGAAACTATCCAGAGTCACAGCTGGGGGCTATTTGGGTCGTGGACATTTTCCTGGATCTATGGCTCGGATGATCAAGTTGACTCCAATGGGCTTGGAGGAGAAGCCCCTCTATAGACGCACCTGGTCACCCACCCACTGGGAATGTTCACAGACAGACTGACTGACGGACTGACAAACAAACAAATAGATAGATATGGGCATAGACATAGACATAGATATACATATTGAGATTGATATATGTCGATATTAAACGGTGGGCGCATGGAGACGGGCCGCCGGCTCCGGTGGCTCGGACCATGTGAACTTGGGTAGTTTGGCTTTCATGCTCTGACACCGACGCACAGCAGGACCTGCAAAAAAGGGAGTCCCATTTGCAACTTGGGCCTGATTCCTACATCAGGAATAGCATGGAATAGCCCTGATCTCCGGTTCCAGAATGGATTCTCGTTTTCTTCTTTATATATGTCAATCGAGCCCCTGTTTCCGGTCCGACCTGTCCCCATGTCCGCCGCATGCCAGATCTGCGACAAATCGGAGGCCCCCGACGAGAATGCCAATGATCCCATACTGTCTCCATCTACTCAACCAAGAGGAAATGTTGCCAGGATTCATGGCACGAAAACGGCTTCTGAACGACGAATTCAGCGAGATGCTTGTGGTACAATTTAAAACATGAGATGTGTTGGGTGATTTCAACCCAAAGTGCCGTAGGACTCCGGTGTGTTCTGGCATGTTCTGGCAACAAATTGAGTTGGATTATGAGGTTGTGCACGACTCATGTTGACTCCCCACAGCATCGAGAAGGCGACTGGAGCACCACAGGTATCGGTCCAGTTCCCATGACAATTGGGCTCTAAGACTTGCAAAGCTACAACACTCTTGAGCCAGCCATGTTGGTCAAGAAACATTGACACTTTACACGTCACCTATCACCGCCGCGGCTGTTGAGGAGAACTCATTGATTGGAATGAAAAGCGAAAAGTCGTGAGACTTTCGGCACCTCATCAAGGAAAGCTGGAGGTGCATGTCCTCTTGACCTCCGAGTTCTCATGAGTTTAGACTGATTGATTGGTGCATGTGCTGCGTATGTTTAAAAGCAATCACTGGAAGATTTGAGTCAAATGGTCAACAAACATCAATAACTGTGAATATCAATGACATGACTTTCTATTGGACAAGGAGCAGTTATGTGCAGCATGGTACGTAAGCATTTGTTGTGCCTTGATCCCTTTCAAAGGGACAGCGCTGAAATGAGAATGGGACATGTCCGGGAACGAGACTCGTGGTGTATTTATATTTAGGTATAAGTGTCTGACAAAACCTCTTTGTGTCCCCAACGTCAAACACATTTTGGGTTGGCCGGTGTGCAGTGTTTTGGAATGCAATGAGCTACTGCGTAAGGCAACTTCGACTAAAGTAAATGTGTGAATCTATAGTAATATTTGTATATAGGTCGAAACAGCTGAGCGCCCATCATGCCGAGTAAGTCTCTGCGAAGGTTGGAAAGGAAATGACCAAGGGCGAGACCTGAGCGACGGCATGTATTCATTACTAAACTACTCAAATAGACTGACTATCGATCATGTGGGGGCCCTATCTCCTTTATATATATATAGACTACTCAAGTACAAGGTCATGTCACAGTATCTCTTTCAGACCACTTCAATACAGTAGTAAATCACAGTATCTCGTTCGGCCTACTTTAGTGTAATCAAAACAAAGTATATCGTTTATGTGGGGGGCCCTATCTCGTTCACCAGCGAATACTGATGCTGGACAAACAAAAAAACATGCCGCAACGTCGTAGACTATTGGAATAACTACTTTAGCTTCAAAAGAATGAATTGAATGAATATAAATGGCTGCCCACCTCAGTGACGAGATGGATTGTGAAGCAAAGATGCTCTTCGCTGGTCCAAAGGAAGTGAAACCCTTTTGGCATCGTCTGGACTAGGGAACCGGAGATTGGGCGAGCTTTGGAGACTTTGAGCAAATACGGTGGTAAACTGAGAGATCAAGTTCTGGAGTGAGCGCCAAATCAAACAAAGCTGCCCAAAATAGACTTCAATCATCTTCAATCCGGACTCTTGCGACTGGCGCTTATTTGGAGCCCTTGAAAAGGGATATGTGCGTTTCAAACTTTGAATTATGAGCAAACTTGGGTTTCAGGAGCCAACTGCCATGTTTGAAACACAGTGTCTCATTTGGCTCATGTGGCTTGTGATCTAGGCTGCATGGGAACACTGCGGTAGCAACTACTGCACATTCTGCAGTACAGTGAAACGATGTGAAACGCGCAAAACGCGGCATCTTACGGCCAAACCGTGATGAGCTGTTGATAAGCGGAAATCCACATGAAACGTTGAGATCGAAGACTGAGGGTGTCACTGAGCTTGGAACCGCCAAAGCCAAAGTGGCTCCAGCGTTTGCATTTGCAATGCCACCGCCAAATGGTTGAACAATAGAGTACCTGGCAAAGAATACACTTCTCCACAGGAATGTATTGATGTTAGATTGATGTTAGATGGGTTAACATAGCGTGAACCTATCATTAACAAACTGCCCCAAACACACAAACACACCACTCTTTGACTTGCACTCGTATCCGGGCTTGGTGTCAACACCTATAATTACTAGGCATGTTTGTTGGTAGTCAGGAAGAGTCGAGTCAGGAAGAGCAACACTGTGGACGAGTATCCGCCACATTTAGATCTATATACTATAGATCTATATAGTTTTGTCAGGTTTGGTTGAGTTTGTCTAACTTAATGTTTATCATTTTTGGGTTTGTTGCCTTCGTATGTTATAGGCCATCTGTAATTGGTACCCGTTCATGTTCCGGACATCTGCTTCCGGTGCTTTCACGGCCAACACTTGTCGGCGACGGTCTGTGCATCTTCTCCCCGCGGGCACGCTGAAGGCGATGCCACAAACTCTGTGCGCGTGGCCCATGTCAAAGTCATGGTAAGGATTCCTTTAGTACCTCCCAGTGGGTCTGACACTCACTATTGGCCGCAGCGCGATGGAAAAACCATGTCGAGCCATGACATGCCATGACATCTTCTACGGACTTGAGATCTTCTCCAGCCTGGCAGACTCGCGCGGTTCTCCGCCTGAAACCTCAAGTGGAACTCTGTGCGAGGCTCCGCCGTGGTTTGCGACAGGCGGCAGCCACGGCTCTCGAAGACACTCACCTAGGGGGCCGACGGTCTCGGTGGGTTAATCCTCCTCGGTCTGCATGGTATGCTTTGGCTAAGTCGAGAGCCTCCCAGCTTGACCCGCTGCATGGCGCTGCTAAATAATGTTGGTACCCAAGCAAGAAACTAACCAAAGGAGTTGCTGGTTTGGATCATTACAATACACAAACCTGAAAATGTTTTATTCCCGGAGAACCTTTCAGAAAAGGGCCAGAACTGTTTTCCTTTACCATCAAATGCACTTGACATATTTTATAAAGCCAACGTCAATAGCGTACATATAAACGCTTTTGCTCGGTGTATGCTTACACGTACTTACACCCTCCCAAGAAAAGGCACGTCAGAAAGCTTCTTGCGACCGTGGCTCCTCTGCAGAGGGAAACGGATGTCCAGGTACAGAAGCACAATTGCGAATGTCGCGGCAGGTGAGCTCGGGCGCAAGGATGAGAACGTCGACCTGGATGGAGTTCGCAGGGGGGAAATGAAGAATGATGAAGAATGGTGAGGGTATGAGATTGACGACATACGCCGATGCGCGACTTTGGGCTGGATTCCCCAACTTCTAGCAAATGTTTTCTTCTCGCGCAGCCGGGAGCTCATGTGCACGAGATCTCTCGGGTCACGATGGTCACTCTTGTCCGGAACAAGCCATGCTGCACAAACACACAAAACACAAGAAAATCGACACATGTATACACATGTTACATGCATCATGTTACAAACAATGTCATATCCTCCATCCAAGTATATCAAATCAAATAAAACATGTGTGTCTTGTCCAACAAATCGTGGGTGAACCTCCACTCTCCAAACCCACCAGTGGCTTGCTGGGCACCCACCTCGGCGCTCCAAAGACCCAGGATGAAGGCGACCCTCGCGGCCGTTCAATTGGACTGCGGAGGCTCTGCTGCGTTCGTTGCCATCGATTTTCTGACCCAATACAACAAGAGGGTAGTGATGTCATGCTCTTGTTGGGCGTGATGGGATCTGATGGGATACTGATGGTTTCATCCAACATTGGCCAAGATCTGCACCCTTGCGATATCTTTCGAACCGCGAGGTCTGGATCCCACGTCCCCCAAGCACCAGCGAAGCAACGGCACCGAAAACACCCTGAATGAATTCTCTCCGCCAAGGAGCTCGAAGACTGTGCTGCTCAAAGGGGCCTGGGAAAAGCACCCACATTCACCAATTCTTCGATGACTCTGTGCACCGGTATCTGGGGAATACCCAGTCGAAGAATCAAAAAGTGAAAGCATCATGAAACAACATATCTGGACTAAGAAAGAAACTGCAAAAAATTATACCAGCGTTGACCCCAAACAGTTTGTTTGGTCCAAGTCCAAACTAATTAGCGAATTGGTCTTGGCAATGTAGGTGTCAGGCACCAAATCATTGCGGGAGACAAGTGTAAAAAAAATGCGGCCAAAGCACCCACAGCGAACTGGAGGCAACAAAAATAAAGGACAAGTGTAAAAATCATGTGGCCAAAGCACCCTAGAGGCACAAGTGGGAGACATATGGGAGACAAGTGTGAAATCATGCAGCCAGAGCACCCGGGGCACAAGCGGGAGATAAATGGGAGAGCACCCACAAGGGACTGGAGA